TTTGATTACTAGAACTTTGTAATATTGAAATCAGGAAGTGTGATGCTTCTAGCTTTGTTCTTCTTTCTCAAGAATGCTTTAGCTATTCGGGGTCTTTTGTGGCTCTACAAATTTTAGGACTGTTCTAAAATGCCACTGGAATCCTGATCGGATTGCATTGAATCTGTAGATTGCTTTGGGTAGTACGGATATTTTAACAGAATTAATTCTCCTGATCCATGAGCACGGAATATCTATTTATTTGTTTCTTCTTCAATTTCTTTAATCAGTGTCTTGTAGTTCCCAGTGTACAAGTCTTCCACCTCTTGGGTTAAATTTATTCCTACGTATTTTACTTTTTGATACAATTGTAAGTGGAATTGTTAAGTTCTCTTTCTCATGGTTTATTGTTAGTGTATTGAAACACAACAGATTTTTGTATATTGATTTTCTATTCTGTAGCTTTACTGAATTTATGATTTCTAAGTCTTTTGGCAAAGTCTTTAGGGTCTTCTATACATAATATAAATAAAACTGCCTATGTGAAGATGACATCAATTTCTCTCATAATCAAAATTTTCACTCATAAATGGTGATGTTTCTATAGAGGATGATTTTTCTATGCCCACCTGGTATCAACCGAATTTTATTTTCTTTTTTAAGTTTAAGGGGGGAAAACAGTTACCCCAAAGAATGATGGAAACCAGATATTCTGCATCCAATTCAATTTTTTAAAAGTATAGTACTGCCTGGGTTGGCTGTGGAGTAGTCATAGTCACAGGGGCTGATGCATTGCAAGGGGCTGGATCTTCCTCATTCTCTCTCCCCTTCTGCTTTAAGGAAATGCTGTACCACTTGAACCTGGTGTGTGTTGACTGTTCTCAGTGACCTTGAACCACACACTGGTCTCTCCCTAGGTGGCACTCATGTTATAGTCTATCCTGTGGCACAGCCTGAGCACCCAGTAAATTGTGAAACAGTAGTAAATACCTTTAATAATTCAGAATATTTAAGACTGAAATTTCACATATTATTATATTAATGTTTGTAGTAAAGAAAAATTTGGGGATACATCTGTACTATGGGTTTTCATGCTATCATTGGTGGAATTTTTTTAAATCATAAAAGTATCATTTATTCTATTTATCTGATGTGTTGTTGTTGGCCCAATGTTAAGTAAGCAAAACACCAAAATCCCTGTATTTCTACCATTGTACTCTTTCTCTAAAAGAAAGTGAGTACATCTTGGTTTTAAGGTAAAGTAAGATTAAATTACATATAAGGTTCTTAAAAGTATACTGTAAACTGCAAGCTGTAATCTGTGTTTTACAAATGGAAGTATTATGTTTACTTAAATTGATTTTGACTATTTCTTCAGAGATAATTTCAATCTTAAATTTTTTGAGGATCAAATGTTAGTGTATTTATTAATTTATTGCTGTGTCGAGTGCATCACATTTGAAAACCTAAGTTACTTTTCTCTTGTTTATGGAACATAAACAGAAAAAGTATCAGAGGAAATAATGCTTTGCTAATACTGGCAGACAAGTCACAAAAAAGCACTGTTTAGCCTGGCTGGCGTGGCTCAGCAGTTGAGCATCGACCTACGAACCAGGTGGGCACTGTTTTATTCCTGGTCAGGGCATATGCCCGGGTTGTGGGCTCGATCCCCAGTTGGGGGCATGCAGGAGGCAGCCGATCAATGACTCTCTCATCATTGATGTTTCTATCTCTCTCTCCCTTCCTCTCTTAAAATCATAAAGATATATTTTAAAAAAGAAAAAAAAAAAGGTTTACAGCAGTTAAAATTAAAAGATGAGAATAACAAAAGTAAGCAGGGTGTACGTGATATAGCTGATTACAATCCTCCTTTCGTGTGTGGCCACCATGAGTTGCACTAAATCAATATAATATTAAGATTCATATTTTATTGGAAGTAAAAATTAAAGAAATAATTATAAAACCTTTCAGAAGAATTAATAATCTACTAGAAAATATATTTTCTATAATGGTAGCTTCAAATATTTTGACTGAATTAATGTTTAAAATATTTTTCTGGAATATTTTATTCTGACATAAAGACTTACAGTTCCAAATGGTAAAAAAGAACCCCTAGGGTACAATGTTAGGAAAAGCAGTCATTATGCTAAATTCCAAAGCAATAAAACCCTCTGCCTTTTAATTTGCAATGGCAACCAGAGTCCAATATATTAAAACACATGTGTAGGGTGTGGCAAAAGTAGGTTTACAGTTCTTCATATGGAAAATAAAATAATACAAAAACAAACTCTGTGTTGCGTGTACTCACAACTGCATACCTGCTTTTGCCCCACCCTGTATATTACAAAACAGTTCAGAAAGTAAATGGAAGTTTTCAGATAGAAAGCCTATGTGTTATAGGAGCAAAGATTTAAAGAAACTATCCAGAGTATTCCTGATTAGGCTGGGAGGCATTTGTGACTTCTACAGATTTTCAAGTATACTTTGGGTTTAATACCACAGATCTAGTACTTCTACCTACACATCCATAATAAAAAACCTGGGCATTTTCAATACCACAATAATGTCCTAAAAAGAAAAAAAAGGAAACCTAAATAAAGTATTCAGGCAAGAGTTATGCAGGTTTAGAACAAGACCACAGTAATCTTATTTGCTTTCATTAGTTCACAAGTAGTAAAAAGAAAGAATCCGTAGAATAGAAACAAATTAGTTCACAGGTAGTAATGAGAAACAAATAGAAAATAGCAGAATATTTGAAAGAAAAGTTATCATCTTTTATACTAGAATGTGGTCATATTCTTTGGGGGAAATTTTAATATAAAAAATCAACATATACTTGTCTAACATGCCATTTCTATACAGAGAATTCTCACTAGCTACTGAATGCCAAAAGGATAGATTAAAATTTAAAACCAAATAAAGATCAGGAAAAAGTAAAATTCTATAGGGTAATTTAGCTCTGGAACGTGTAATTGTCCTAAAGGCATCGCTCCCTCCCTGCAGCCAGAAGTATCCCAGTTTTAAGGAGCCATGCCCATATGTGGGACAAGAATCATGGTCTGGGGCTGTAACAGTCTGCTCTGACTGCCACAGTGAAATATCACAGATGGCATAGCATAAACAAAAAATATTTATTTTCTCACAGTTCTGGAGGGAAGAAATCCAAAGATCAAGGTCCAGAAAATTCCATTTCTGGTGAGGTCTCTCTTCCTGGTTTGCAGGTGGCCACCTTTTTGCTGTGTCATGTGACCATTTCTCTGCATGCCTGCAGAATGTGTTCTGTTGTCTCTTCCTCTTCTTAAAAGGGCACCAGTGCTATCAGATTAGGGACCCACCCTTATGACTTTATTTAACCTTAATTACCTCCTTAAAGGCCCTATCTCCAAACATAGTCACTTTGGAGGTTAGGGCTTCAGCATATAAATTTTGAGGGACACAATTCAGTTCACAACAGGGACCTGAGCTGGATGAGCAAGAGAAATGGTGAACCCCTACAGGGCACCACTTTCAGTGAGCGAACTAGGAAAAGACCTCAAGTTTCTCTTCTTTACTTGAAGTAGAGCTGTGAAGGGGGAAACAGTCTCCCCTAGAAATACCTATCACAGACCAACACTCACATATGTTTAAGGATGAAATTCACACTGCTTGTAAGTGTGTGTGAGTGTGCATGTGCTACAGAACAGGGGAGGGAGAGGCAGAAAACCCAAGGCGAACACTGACTTAGAAGCCATCTAGGGTTAGCAATGCCACAAGAAACAAACCGGTGGTGCTAGAAAAAGAAATCTTCTCTGTTGAAACATACTTTAAACAAAAAATTCCCCAATATCAAGGTAAGAGGAATATGAACTCACAATCAAAGTCACTGATCACATTACAAAACAAATCACCATAAACTTGTTTCAGAAAAATCAGCAAACGACCAACTGTGAGTCAGATCCACAAAAAAAGTACATTTAATATATTTAAAGAAAAGAAAGAGGGAATACTGGAACTATCCCAAATCACCAGGAAAGTGTGAGAAAGAACCAAACACCACTCTGGAAATGAAAAAAATATATAACCATAATTTAAAATTTGATAGATAGGTTAAATAGGTTAGAGACAGTGAGAAGACAGAATTAGTGAACTGAAAAGGCTTAAAGAAACTATCCAGAATTTACATGGATGGCCAGAATTCCACATAGAGAGAAAAAGAGATAGAAAATATAAATCAGAGATACGCAGAACAGGGGCGAGGCAATACATATGAGTCTAATTTGATTCCCTAAAGGAGAGAGTAGATAGAATGAGGGAAGTGCAATATTCAAGGAGATAAAAGTTGAGAATTTTTAGAATTTATGAAAAACACTAAGTCTCAGATTCAAGTAGCTCAGTCAATCAGAACAGGATAATTAAAAGAAATCCATAGCTGGATACACTGCAGTATAATAACATTTGATTGTAGACAACCAAAGATAAAAACCGTAAACATAACCTTTGTAGCACTGACAACTGTTATTTCAGAAGCAACAATGGCAGCAAGACAACAGTGGGATAATATTAAATACTGAGAAAAAATATCTGTCAATCCACCCAGCCAACTTCCAAGGATAATGAAATGATAAACTTTTAGGTAAATCTAATAAATATTGACTGCATAATTATTTTTGGAGTTAAACTGACATAAAAGAAATTCTAGACACTAATTTATAAGTTGAAGGAGGAAAATCAAGACTGTTCAAAAGTCTCTTATGTTTTGAAAGAGAGTAAAGATTTTATGCTAACTCTGCAAATTAAATTTACTGGTAAGCACTAAAACATAAAAATTGAGTTTTTTGCTTTCTAAACTAGTAGAGAGAAAGTAAATGGAAAAAATATACACAACTTACTCAATCTGAAAGAAGGCAAAAAACCCTACAAGGGCAGTAACAGAAAATGTGTGATGAAAATCACAATAAGATGGTATAAGTAAACCCCAATATATTAGTAAGTTCAATAAATGTAGATCGGTTAAACTCTGCCAGTAAAAGAAAATCAGAAAGAAAAATTACACTTTTTATGAGGCACATCTAAAACGTAACAGAAAGGTCCAACAGAAGGATAAAAAACCACATACATACAAATACTAACCAGCTGGTGTGGCCTAAATATTTTCTAAAGCATAGATTTTAAAGCAATGTAGGATGAAATAAAAACCTTAGGTGATGACTATAAATATAAGACTTGATTCTAAACTTGGAAGATAATTCTAAACTTGTATGTACCTAATAACAAAACTGCAAAATATACAAAACAAATATTGACAGATTTATAGGGAGAAATAAAAAATAAAAAATTTCAACACATAGAATCTGAGAGATCAAATAGAAGGAAAAACAACAGTCAAATGGAGACAATTTGAATAACACAATGAACAAATTTGGTTTAACAGACACCCAACAACTGGAACATATGCAGGCTTTCAAGCACTAACAAAACATTTACAAAAAACTGACCATATTTTAGGTCATAAGGAAAATCTCAACAAATTTCACCATATCAACTTTATATGGACCGATTCTCTGGCCACAATCCAATTAAAGAAGAAATCAATAATGAGAACAGAATTTAAAAATCTACATGTTAAGAAACGAAACAAAAACCGCACATACGTGAGTAAAAAAAAAAGTCATTATAAAAAATAGAAAATATTCAGAACTTAAAAATAAATATTTCCATAGCACTTAAACATTATTCAAACAAAATAATCTTGTGAACTACACAGAACCCATATTATCTCTGCTCAATAGCATAAACAGCAAAAATGTTGTAAATTATGTAATTGTTACATAAAAAGCTAATTTATAGGTATAAAATACATATCAAAAGGGATTTGGAAAATGGGAAATATAAGTGAAAGTGTTCACTACTGAAGTGTTAAAAGGATGGCAACCCAGCCACCTTTTTTAGAAGTTATACTGAATAGCTAAAGAAAGAAGTTAGTATCTTAAATGTTTAAAGGTAAAAAAGCCCATCAATTCTTTTTGGTTTAAGAAATCCCTTCGGTCCTTATATAATAAATACAAATTCATATGGCAAAGTGTTTATTATTCCTATGCGATGGACAAATACTATCAGAAATCCCTGTTGCACCAGTTGAATAACCACAGTTAAGAGTACATTCCTGCTCACATGCAGTCCTGATTTCTTGGTTATGGCATCTGTTCAATGATGCACTGGCAATTAACAGCATTTCAAAAACTGCCCACAGTACAAAGGGAATTTTCATTTAAGGCTCCCCTCACTTTTCATGTGTGGGATATTTTTGGAAGTATGTGTTTTTTTTTCCATCCACTGAAAGAGAATTAAGAAAATTCCAACATGCCTTAGTGTCAGCAAGTGCTCTTTTTAGTCCAGGTACCAGAGGATGATTGATGAACCTGTCAAGCCTACAGTAGCGGACAGAGAAAGTTGGCAGAAGTTCAGTGTTATTGAAAGAAATCTCAAATACTTATTTCATCTCCTCTATTAACTTTAATCACATTTTCAACATGCAGCCAAGAATGCAGCTTTGACAGTGAGCCATAAATTTACACAAGCAAGCATTGTCACTTTCTGCACTAGCAAGACTGAGATACATGAGAGAGTTGGGTATTTTCTTTCTTGTACCTTTCTTTACTGAAGAGCAATAAAAATATCTGAAAGATTTATCCATACCTCAAATTCATTTGCCATAAATCTCTTGAAATACTGCATTTAATTTTGCTTTATTTATGGCAAATAAAAAATCAACTTAGTTCCTCAATTAGACTGTTAAATGCAAATTTTTAAGGATCACAGTGATGACAGAGTTGGTACACGTTTCACCATAATACACCTGCTTATGAGAACGACGTTAAACACTAAAAAGGATTTACATTTAACATGGATTACTTGCCATGTGGGCAAATACTTCTGGCATATTCAGAGCCAGAAGCTGTATATGGTTCCAGAGGGACTCCTTGCAGATTTGGCTGATTACATCAAACAGCTGAAACATGTACAGACATTATTTGTCTTACAAAGCTCACCCATAGCAAAACAGACACAAAAATGAGGTAAATACTATGGGCAAGATTATGGTTCTTGGAAATGCTAACAGTCAACTATATTTTTGGTATGCTTTTAAAGCATGTTTTAAAAGCTGAAAATATTAAGTGCTGGAAGGCCACAAAACTTAACAAGTGTGTCCTGTCATCAGTGAAACACGTGGCATTATGCTGCACTGCAGAATCTGTGAACCTTCCCCAGTAGGCAGCTCAGAGACCAACATGGCCACCTTGGCCACAGCAGAGACTGTTTTACTCTCACCTCTCTTAAATGTGATCTCTGTTCCAAGGACCACTGTTTTTGTCTACATTACTCATGGACTAGCACTTCACACATTCTCCCAATAGCCAAAGAGGCTAAAATGGGCAGCTATTATATCTGCTTTCTAAGCCACAATAACAAACTAATATTACCTCTGTGTAAGGATGAATTCAATTACTTTTCTAAGAAGTCTATACTTACAGTTCTCTGAGATAATCAATAAAAAAGAAGCCAATTCTGACTAACAAAAAGTAAATTTATCCCATTTTTCTTCCTACCCTTGCCCATTCAAATAATATGTAGGCACTTAAACTGGAAAGATGTAGCACTCCTCTTCTACTAAACATTTAATTAAGACTCCAGGAGAGGTTTCTTTCTTCTGCTACGAGTGCCACTGAATATATTGCTAAGCTTGAAGCAGAGGCTAAACGGTTTGGTGGGAATAGTTCATCTCTGGGAGCGGCCAGTGTTTTCTCATTAGTCTGTCACTGCTATGGTTCAAGTTCCTAAAAGGCTGAGAATTTTGCCAGGTCCTTCTCCATCTCAGCGTATTGCTCTTTAAGCCTCTCCGTAGCTTTTCTGTGTTCTTCATCCACTTCAGCCTGTTTGTTGTGTTGATCTTTCATGAAATCTTCCCACTGGATTATGTGCTGGTTTTCACTAGCTATTAAATGGTCATTATAAATCTGAGAAAAGAAAATTTGAAAGTCAGGTAACATTTTCTAGGCAATTATTTTTCTATGCAGAAGAGACAAACATAACTTTAACTCTTGATATTTGTATATTATAGCAATCAGCTTGAAAATCACAATGATAAAACTGCATTATAGTTTTAATGTCCAACAAGAACATGACATTAGAAACATTTAAGGCTAAGGCTTTGCTTACTCTGACTAAACATGGGTATTCACATTTCTGAAATTTCAAAAATGTCTAGAATCATTAAATGAAAAAATCAAACACAACTCAAGTAAATTTCATATCTCTATTTCTCCTCAAATTCCACTTAACTGCATATAACTTCTAAATCAAGTTTAAAGAATATATGCCAAAAGAATGATTATTATAAGAAACGAAAGTGCATGTCTTACACTTAATATTTTTTAGCTGCATTAAAAAGAATCATACATTATTAGTCACTGGAAGAGAACTCGAGAACCCTCTTCTGTTTCAGTTCCATTCTTTAAAGCAAGCAAACACCAAAAGCACCTTTTGTCAAATATCTAAGTTGTTCTGGAGATGCTCCTTAGTATTTCTATATAAGGATGAAAAATTTTTTCTTTTGAGTAACACAACAACAAAGATGAAACAATGTATAAGTTAAAATGGCATACATTTATTATTTATAATAATAAATTAATTTCTTTTGATTATCTTTGAATATGCACAACAATGAGCTAAAGAGAAAAAGAGAGTATAAAAAATAACTTTTTAATTCTGCCTCAAATAATCTACACGTCTTTATAAGTTAAAGTTTTGACATAAGCTAAGGTCTATTCAACAAACAAGCAAAATGCAATAGATGCAAACCACAAAAACCTGCAAAGCTTGAAGTCATTACTAATTCCAGCATTCTAATGTAAACAGGACACCTGCAGTGCACGCTGTAACTCAGCTGCTGGAAGGTAGCTACTAGGAGAAAGAGAAACCGGGTTTTCACGTGGCTCAGAATGTCCTTGCTGCTCTACTTTCTCTCTTATCTGAGACATGAGAAGCAGGAGGAAGTGCTGGATAAGCCATCACACTCTATTTGTGAAACGCATACTTACTTCTGCTAGTTGTTCTGAGTATCGTATCTACTTCTAAAAGCCCCTTGTATAATTACCTTAGTCTCATTTTACAGATGAAGAAATAAAGACTCAAGGACACTACATTTACTTCTCCACGGTCACTCAGCTATGAAGTTGTAGAGTCAAACTGAAGTCTAACACCTATGCCTTTTCTATCACAAAGTGCAAATCAGATCTTTCCAGAGGAAGTGCTAGATAGGCAGCTAAAGTCTTTCACTAGACCAAATGAAAAAGGCTATTGCAAGAGCTTTTTCTGCCAATGCTATGTGAAGTTCCTCAGCACAGAGGCTTTTCAAGTGAAAAGAGGTTGAGGGCCTGACATTTGAGTTACAGTAAAACATTCGCCTAAAATATGTCCCACAGACCTTTGGGATCTAAATTGGCATTACAGGAGTGAGGAAAAAGGGATAAGGAGTGTTTTTGCAGATCCAGTAAATTTGGGAAGCAGGTTAAACAAAATTCAAAACATTACTTTTAAACATTTTAGCCTCATGCATTGTAATTCTCCAAAAGATGAATAAAACATGAAGAGCTCATTAAACTCTTTCATTGGAACTTTTGCACAAACTATTCTACTCTGAGAGAAAAGCCGTCAGACTAAAAAAAAAAAAGCAAATAAACTTCCTCAAAATGGTATCTTGCTTTTGCTGTAAATTAATTTTTAATAAATACAGAGAATATTAGCATCCAAGCTCAGATGTTGTTTAAAAGATTATTTCCTTTTTAACTGAAACATCGTAATTGGTTCAGCTGACCCTGTGATTCGGACCACAAGGCAACAGCCCTGGTTCCACTCTCTACCAGGCAGCACATTATCCAGGGCAGCTCAATGAAGAAAAATGAAGATTTGGGAGGCAGATAAACTTTGCTTCAAATTCTGGTTCACTTATTACCAGTTGTACGATACTGAGCAAGTTAGTTTCTTTAACTTTAAAATGAGGAAAACAATACTATCCAAAGTGACCTACAGATTTGATGAAATCCATATTAAAATCCCAATGATGTTTTTTGCAGAAACAAAAGAATCCACCCTAAAATTTATATGAAATTTCAAGTGACACCAATAGTCAAAACAAAAACAATTAGTGATTTGGATGTCTCATACTGTGTTAATGATGTACTCATGACGCTTTCACATCTGGGCCTTGCTGACCCTGGAGAAACTGTCCGTCCCGGAGCTAGTCTATTCCTAGAGACAATAAACAATTCTCCTGTGAGCATATCTTTTATATGCAAGCCAACCAATACAAAGCTCATACCTTAATTACCTTCTTTATTGGACTCGAGAATTCTGGGCCACTATCTACCTGCCCTAATGACCCAGGGCCAGGTACCAGACAACAATGGCCAGACCCTATGCACCAGAGGTTGATGAAATTATTCAAACTAGACAATCCTAAGCCTCATTACCGTTTCACATGTTACTTTCTGTGGAAACCACAATAAAAGCTCTTGCCCATGTTTTCCCCTCTTTCACTTTGCCTGACAAACCCTAGTGCATTCTTACATGGTCCTGTGTGCATAACATGCCCCTCCTTTTGGGAACTATGAGTAACAAACTGTGTTTCCATGGCAATCATCCCCAGTCTGTTGGCCTCACCATATCAAAATAATAATAAAACCCACATTTAAAAAAACACATTGCCTAATTTCAAAACATACTGCAAAGCTACTATAATCAAAACAGTGTCTGATACTGGCATAAAGATAGACATTTAGACCAATGGAAAAGAACAGAGTTCAGAAATAAACCCTTGTATATACAGTAAAGTGGTTTCTGATAAGGTGCCAAAACCATTCAATAGGGAAAGGACAATCTTTTCAACAAGTGCTGGAAAATCTAGATATCCACATGCAAAAAAATGAAACTGGACCTTACCTTGTATCATATACAAAAATTATCTCAAAATGGATCAAAGACCTAAATGTAAGACCTAAAACTTTAAAATGCTTAGAAGAAAACAGGGAAACTTCATGACACTAGATTTGGCAATGATTTCTTGGCTATGACACCAAAAGCACAGGCAACAAAAGTAAAAATAAATTTTTTTGACTTTCTCAAAATTAAGAACTTTTGTGCATCAAACAACATTATCAACAGAGTGAAAAGGCAATCTACAGAATAAGAGAAAATATTTGCAAATCATATATCTGATAAGAGGTTAATATTCAAAATATGTAAAGAACTCCTACAGCTTGATTAAACAATAAAACAACCTGATTAAAAATTGGGCAAAGGGCTTGAATGGACATTTCTGCAAAGAAGATATACAAATGTCCAAAAAACACAAGAAAAATGCCCAACATCACTAACCATTAGGGAAATGCAAATCCAACCACAATGAGATATCCATTAGAGCGGCTACTACAATAAACAAACAAACAAACAAGCAAGCAAATAAATAAATGACAGGAAATAACAAGTGTTAGCAAGGATGTGCAGAAAATGGAACTCTTGCTCCCTGCTGGTAGGGAAATAAAACTGTCCAATTGCTGTGGTTCCTCAAAAAATTAAAAATAGAATTACCATCTGATCTAGTATGTCCACTTCTGGGTACACACCCAGAAGAATGGAAAGGAGGACTTTGAACAGATATCTGTCACCCAAGTTAATAGCAGTATTATTCACAATAGTCAAAAGGTGGAAGTAACCCGGCCAGGCATGGCTCAGTGGTTAAGCATTGACCTAGGATTAAGGAGATCACAGTTCGATTCCTGGTCAGGGCACATGCCCGGGTTGTGGGCTCGATCCCCAGGCCAGAAGCCCCAGGCCAGGAGCGTGCAGGAGGCAGCTGATCAATGACTCTCTCATCATTGACGTTTCTCTCTCTCTTTCTCCCTCTCCCTTCCTCTGTCTGAAGTCAATAAAGATATATTAAAAAAAAAAAAGGTGGAAGTAACCCAAGGATCCATGGCGAGATGAATGGATACACAAATATATCCATTCCACTTAGAAGGAGACTTAGAATAGTCAACTTTTAGAGATAGAAAGTGGAATGGTGGTTACCAGCAGTAAGGGGAAGGGAGAATGGGGGGTTGGTGTTAAAGGGGTATGGAGTCTCTGCTGGGAGAGATGGCAAAGTTCTGGAGATGGATGGATGGTGGTGATGGTTGCAGGACAATGTGAATGTACTTAATGCCATATAACTCTGTACTTAAAAAATGCTAAAAACTGGTAAATTTTATGTTAGGTATATTTCACCACAATAAAAAAAAAAAATTCAAATCAGGTTTCAGAGGGTTCTTCATAAATGAAATCAATTGCATTCTTCATAAAGTGGATACAACTGATTTTCTAAAGATAAATTTAGAAAATTCCAACTTTAAAAAAAAATGAAGAGAAAGTGTGTTATGAGCTATAATTGTGGAGTAACTAGCTGTAATCCTTTTGTCTTTCTACAAAGGAGAAAAAAATAGTAATAACAAACTGGCTTACATATATCCCATTAGACATAAATTTAAAGAGAAGCCAGTCTTGAAGCCAAACCATTCTAGGACCAGGTCTATAAATGAACTCTGGGATATGTAATGAAAACACATTTCTAGATGCTTTAGTCTAAGTCAATGATTCCCAACTGGGGAGTAAATTTTGATGCTCTGTCTCCCTGATTTTTCGTTGTCACAGCACAGGTTAGGGGGAGGTGCTCCTGACATATAATGGGTAGAGGCCAAGGATGCTGCAAACATCCTACAAAGCCCAGTCCCCACAACAAAGAATTATCTGATCCAAAATGTCAACAGTGCAGGGACTGAGAAACCCCGGTCTGAGGGAAAACTCTGAATAAGTCAACTAAGGTCTAAAAGGCCCCTTGGAACATCTGTCAGTAATACACATGCCATTAATTTCACATATGCCTTACACAGGTAAATAAGAAAGTATTTCCTTTGGTAAGAAGTGTCAGAATGACAACTGTCAGCAATTATTTAATTAGAATTTACCTACCGATCTATTACTCTGTATTTTCACACTCTATCAAGAAGAATGTATAATCTATGCTATCTCACTGACCTCATAAAAAATCATACAGGGGTATAATTAAATCTAATAAGTATTAGTGGACAAGATGAATCAAAGGATTCATGTTTACTTTATTACTATCTCTAATTTGGTTGAATATAGCTTCAACCAGAAGTTGAGGCTTGTATATGGAACCTAAGTTTAAACTATTCACGCATATTAACATATTAATGGCATATTTTTAAGAGTCAGTGAATTTTGTAAGCTAAATGTATTTTCAATGCACCACTCTTTTTTTTTTTCTTAATATACCTTTATTGATTTCAGAGAGAGGAAGGGAGAGGGAGAGAGACAGAAACATCAATGATGAGAGAGTCACTGATCTGCTGCAGCCCGCAACCCGGGCATGTGCCCTGACCGGGAATCAAACCCTGATCTCCTGGATCCTAGGTCGATGCTCAACTGCTGAGCCACACCCGGCTGGGCTGCACCACTCTTATTGCTAGCACCCAAAATGCGACTTTGTATTTAGTGTGTCGTTTTCAAGACATATGTCAAATAAATGGGGAATGTGCATTTATTGTTCTTCTGAATGTACTTTTAGATATCAATTGTGGGAAATGTGATTTGGATGAATGACGTTTATCATAATTTACTTCCCACAGAATTCCACAAATTGTCTTGACATAAAAGAATTAATGATTAATGGCAACAGTCTATTTTATTCCATTACTACTCCCATCTTTCTTTGTTCTGAGAGCCATTCAAATACACAAAATGTAGCCAACAGCATAACTAAGGGCAACAATTAACATTAGAGTGCAAAATATAGCTAGAGGTCAATTTTGCTTTGTACATATTTGCTAGATGAGAAATTAAACTTTATCTCTGTGTCCTTTATATATTTGTAGTCTGAAAACTCTGCCACGTCAAAGTTTTGGCAAAAGCAAGATATGACAGAAAAAAAAGGCCTTAAAGGTCCATATTTCAAATGTTTTGCTAACTACATAAACACTGAAAAATAATGACTAAATGTTCAATTGCCTTGGAAGAATATAAAGAATTTTTACTTTTCTCTGAGCTCTGTCTGAAAAACACATCTTAGTGTGACTTTCACCTGGTTAATTTTATTAAATTATCTTGAGAAAAGAAAATACTCAGGGTGGCTGATTATGCATGTAGGTTTCACAGGCTTCATACCAGTCCTTAGTGAAACACCGTGTTTTAGTATATTCTAAAATAGTAACTTTAATGTGTACTCAATAAAGAGGTAGTTGAGTAATTTTCTCTGATATAATACCTGTAAGAAATATATTTAACACTAAAATATTCTATGGGCTTTATTATTTGAGGCCACTTTTTTTTTTTCTTTTTTTTTTTTTTTAAACCATGGGACAGTATATTTTAATTCAGAAAATAATGAATGGACAGGATTTTCAAGGGCTTCACCAACTCTAATAGACCATAGCAGGGCTCTTACCCACAAAGTGATTGCGTGCATCTTAAACAAATGATCGTGCAGGCAGGGGAAAAGTGCCACCTTACATGTGGAGAGTGAGATACAATCTGCAAAACCATGTCATAAATTATATAATACAATATGTCACGTAAGTAGAATATCAATCCATCAAGTTGAATAGAACAGGTATTTATTTTGCAGATGAGGAACTTGAAGCTCAAGTCATTGTCCGAAAAAACATACAGCTAGCTAATAAAGGAAACAGCCAGAAATAGAAGACACCAGTATTTTTAACCTAATCTGGTCATTTTCCTACTTATATATGTAAATACAGCAAATGTAAAAAAAAAATTTTAAGTGCTAAGAGGAACCATTCAAATTATAATTTAATTTCAGGTGAGCTCTACTCGATGATGAAAAGAATTACCATTTTATCAGAATCATAACTACTTTTGACGATGTCTTTAGAAAGACCAATAACATGTGAGAGCATATCCACGTGAATCTGCTTAAATCACGCAGCAACACGTTAGAGAGGCAACATCCTGGAAAGGACACCATTTTAAAATTTTCATTTTGAAAGCAAAGAGAATTGCATATGTTATAGCTAGTAACAGCCAGTACAGCCAGTGTTCTTACAGAGAAAGTCTTCCTGCTCCTCAAGCACAGAAATGCTCCTGTTGCCTTCAGCAACAAATTGTTTAATACAGCAATCAAGGTTCTCCACAATCATCTTCTTTATAGTTCTCCACATCTTTACAGTGCTTTCTAGACTGTGCAAACACTCCGCCCAACACAGATTTTCCTGCTCATGGCTTTGCCTTGCCCTTTTATGAAGGTGCTCAGCAATGGTCCTGCTTCCAGACCTGGCCTGCTAGAAACAATCCTATTCTTCTTGGGCAGCTTTCCCAATTGGCTAAAATGTTAAGTCCTTTCAGTAGGCTTGATTCATCAAATTGTTCAATGTTTAAGCTTTATATCAATATTTAAACTTGAGCAGAGGGTGCAGAAATTTAAACTGTAGCAAGGTTCATTCCATTGTATTTTTATACAGTGCCAAATGTGAAACATTATTGTGGATTAACCACAACACATTCCAGAGAAATGGGGACAGTAATACTCATTGATATATGTACATACACAGTGTATTTCAGAATGACTTAGTATTTTCAACATTTCTTAGTAAGTGTATCTTTATTAGTTTAAAGCAATAAATAAGTACTATAACTACTTTATGAAAATTATATGTGAAAATACCAAATTATCACAGGAACTTAAATTCTTTTGCTATTTTTCCACATCTGAATTTAGTTAAGATATAATTCAAATAAGCAAAACACGATCCAGCAAGTGAGTCACACGCTCTTGCGACTATTCATTAAATAACCCATCCACAGGCATGAATGCTTCCTTTTCTAGAAGAAATATACATACTATACTCAATGCTTCAGGCGCGAAGGAAAGATTTATATTTCCAATCTGGTGGGTATTTTTTTGTTCCATGTTAAAGTCCTATTCTCTCTCTTCCATGGGACAAATACCACTTTCAAGGAAAAGATGGACACGTTGAAAAGGTAAAAAAAGAAAAGAAAAAAAAAGGTCTATAATTTGAATAAAAATATGGATGGTGCAATCATGTGCCCATACCTCTTCAAAACACCTTGAATGAATTAGCCATTTTAAAATCTTTTAAAATTACTGCATAAAAAAAAAAAATTCAGATAATTTCTTTTTATCAAAAGCAAATGCTGATAATATGATGATAATTAAAGCCCTGGAGTTACAGGCTCCAATATGCAAACGATCTACTTTTACCTTTTTTCGTTCCTGCTCCCTCTGTTGTAGTCTACAGACTGAGTCAGTAGCTGCTTGCACTGAAATAAAAGAGAATGGGTTTTCAATCAGCAACCCTTGCTCAAGGAAAGAATTACCTGAAAAAAACACACACAAACTTGGATTGTCTTAGATCTCAAAAAACGATGCAAAAAACAACCTGGTATGATTTTGGTTGTGGTGGGGTGGCAAGAAAAAAGAGAAGTTCTACCAATATATTCAGTATGTCATAATCAGAACTACCATCATTCTTGAGTTTTGAGTTGGAAGCCAAAGGAATTTAAGTACTAATTCCAATGACAAACTGTCAACAATAACCTCAGAATTCTCTAAAAAGATGTAACACCTAATAATCTTACCATTACGTTTTTTAAAAAATTTATCTTTATCGTTGAAAGTATTACAGATGTCCTCCTTTTCCCCCTATTGACCCGCCCCCCCCTCCCGGGCCTTCACTGCACTATCGTCTGTGTCCATGGGTTATACATATGTGCATATAAGTTCCTTGGGTCATCTCTTCCCAAATGCTCCCTCTTCCCTCTGAGATTCATCAGTCTGTTCTACACCTCTCTGTTTCTGCATCTATTTTGTTAATCAGTTTATTTTGTTCATTGGATTCCACATATGAGTGAGATCACGTGATACTTGTCTTTCTATGACTGGCTTATTTTGCTTGCATAATACTCTCTAGGTTCCTCCATGCTGTCTCAAAGAGTAAGAGATTCTTTTTTTTACAGCTGCATAGTATTCCATAGTGTAAATGTACCACTTTAGAAAAAATCTTTATTGATTTCAGATAGAAGAAGGGGGAGGGGGAGGGGGAGAGGGAGATAGAAACATCAATGATGACAGAGTCATCAATTGACTGCCTCCTGCACACACTCCCATTGGGGATTGAGCCTGCAACCCAGGCATGTGCCCTGATCGGGACTCGAACCTTGATCTCCTGGATCATAGGCCGATGCTCAACTGCTGAGCTATGCAAACATCTTTTTTATCCACTCATTTACTGACGGGCACTTGGGCTGTTTCGAGATCTTAGCTATTGTAAATACCACTGCTATGACATCAACAGAATCAAAAGGGAGCCCACTGTTTGGGAAAACATATTTGTTAATGATACATCTGATAAAGGGTTAATATCTAAAATATATAAAGAACTCATACAACTTAACAAAAGGAAGACAAACAATCCAATTAAAAAATGGGCAATGGACCTAAATAGACACTTCTCCAAAGAGGACATGCAGATGGCCAAGAAACATGAAAAAATGCTCAAAGTCACTAATCATCGGAGAGATGCAAATTAAAATCACAAAGAGGTATAACCTCACACCTGTCAGAATGGCTCCATCAACAAATCAACAAATGACAAGTGCTGGTGAGGGTGTGGAGAAAATGCACCCTAGTACACTGCTGGTGGGAATGCAGGCTGGTGCAGCCACCATGGAAAACAGTATGGAGGTTCCTCAAAAAATTAAAAATAGAACTGCCGTTTGACCCAGTGATCCCACTTCTGGGGATATATCCTAAGAAACACCAGTTAGGAAGAATACGTGATCCCCTATGGTTACCATTACATTTTGATTGACTGTGCCTTTACAGTCTTTCCCAATCACCAGGCCCCTTTCCTTCTGTCTCATTCATACTACTGCTCTCCTGTAGGTAGTATTTGATATCTAGAATGCTTAACAACTTTCTACTATTCTTCTTGCCCCTGCTCTCTTGTCTTCTAATTCATCCTGCCTGCCACTGCCAGATTCAAATTTCTTTGGATTGTTTTCATTGAGTCATTTCCCTTTCTAATGGACCAAAACTGTAATAATTATTATAGTTATTTATTATTAGTATGTGCCAAGACCTGTGCTAAGTATACTTTCCATGTATGACTCCTCTCAATCCCACTTTACTATTTAGAAGAGGATCACTATCACATTTTACAGAGTTTCAGCATCTGTAAAAAACAGGTGTAAAGAGGCGAGTGTCACTCAAGAAGGTAATATGACTAATAAGTACAAAAAGAAGGATTTAAAATCAGATCTGTGACTCCAAAGACTTGATTCTTATTAAACTCGATTCCTCTTATGATTCATTAATGAAGCTCATTTTTAAAAAAATGTTTTTACTGATTTTATAGAGGAAGGGAGAGGGAAAGAGAGATAGAAACATCGATGAGAGAAACATCAACATGTGTCAGCTGCCTCCTGCACGCCGGACTGGGAATCCAACCAGCAACCTCCTGGTGCATAGGGTGATGCTCAACCACTAAGCCACAATGGCTGGATAGAGCATTAATCCATCAGTTATTCAAACCTCTTAATTTACTTTATTTATGTAGACAAATGTTTTCACTCACTTCACTGTTCAGTGTGCTGGCTAAAGTGAGACTTAGCTAAATCTAGAGCTGAGCACTTACTAGTCGTATCACTGATCTTGGGCATGTTGTTTGCTTACTCTTTCATTCATTTCCTAAATATTTATTGAGAATTTGCTATATGCCAGGTGCTGTTATTATTACTGCTGCTGATTTTGCAGCACCTTAGTTCCCCATTTGTAAGATAAACATAACAACTAATAAGAGGACTTCAAAATTGACACAAGAATTAAATAACACAGTAGGTATTATGCTTAAAAATATTTAGATATTAATAGAAGTCACTTCAAGCCGTTTTCACACATAGTAAGCAGAGTGAAAGATGAGTACATAATATTCTATTTAAAATTTCTACTGACAGGTGGCATCCTGACACTTCTTACCAAAGTAAATACTTTATTTGTCTGTATAAGGCATGTGTAGAATTAATGGTATGTGTAATACTGACAGATATAAGCAGTCAAGAAATGTTACTTTCTATTATTAGAACTATTATGCTACTTACTATATTATCCCTACTGAAAGTGCTTTCCTTATTTCTTTCCTCTAACATGTTTTACTTGTTTCAAAAGCTCGGTTCAAGGCTTACTGCCTTCATAAAATCCTCCCAGATTAACCCTTTCACTATAAGAACTTGCCCTTGTTTGGGATGTAGTGCTCTAACCACTTTAGCTTGCATTTGCTTCAACAGAGGTTCCCCTAGCTATTTTACAATTAAGCCTTCCTATCTCACCTCAGTCTGGCCCCAAATAAGTCACAAGGCCCATAGGTCACAGGGCAGGACTGGGCTTCTCTTTCAGAAGAATGCTAGGGCCCACCCTGTGAAAATACAGTCAGGAGGAGGATTCTGCTTTTAAAAGTCAGGTTTTTATCAGTAACCACTCGCTTTAGTTATATCAAAGATAGTATTTTAGTACTGAAAGTTAGGTTCCCTATCCTTGTTTGTTCTAACAGAAAAGATGAAAACAAAACAAAATAGCTGATTAGAGCTGCCTTCTTTCTGTGGCATATTAATATTACATCATCTTTCCTGAGCAGTGGTTTTTACCATTTCCTGGTTGTTGTTGTTGTTGTTTTAATGGTGTGGGGAGGGGAAGAGGCTCTGAACATAACAAAAAATATCCATTTTGTGGTGTTTCATTATTTTCAGGTCTTTCTTGGCTTAATCTGACAAGAGCTACAGGACTATGACATTTATTTTGTCATTTGTTATATTCTTTAAAAATTTAATTAGAACACATCTGACAAAGTCACACTTTTGTTCCTTATTGGACTGTGTTGGTGCTTAGACAAAATATCCATTTTTAGAAAATTCAGTTTCTTTGAAGTAATTTACTTTTTAATTCTTTAGCCACACAATAAAAAAGGGTTTAGTTTCTGAATTTAATAAAATCTGCTTTTCTAAAGTACAGGAAAATCACCTCACTACAGCAAACATTCCCCTTCTGTACAATTAGACTGGAAGAGGAGAGGGTCCCTTTACCCAAACCTTCCTCTCACGTCCACAGGACTTACTGGTCAACAGGAAGCCGTTTCCCTGTTGTCTGTGTGCTAAGACACTATACTGACTTTAAAAAGTCAAGAATTTATCAAATTATTTTCTCTCAACCAAAAGATTATTCAAGGAGATTAGTATCACATACAGTAATTGTGCCACATGACTTCACATAAAAGAAACAGTTATCCTGTCATGGTGTGGATGTGCAAACCTCAAATACATACACAAGAAAATAATTCTGGTTTGGTATTAGGAGCAGATGCTGGCAATTCTTATTCATTCATTTCAATAAACAAATAATTAGCGGATACAATGTGCCAGCCACTACTGTTCTAGGTGCCAGGGATACTGCAGAGAACCAAGTCCCTGAGCTAGCTCATGAAATTTATTTTAGCTGGGGAGACAAACAGCATATAGATAAATATTTAGCATGTCAGGAGGTGATAGGAAAAAACAAAGCAAGGTGGGGAGGCCAGAGAATGGCAGAGGGAACATGAAAGAGTAGCTCAGTTAGGTCTCACTGTTGACATGTGAGCAGAGACAAACAGAAAATGAGAATATACAGAAATCTGAGAAAAGAGGATTCCAGAGAGCGTAGCACGTGCAAAGGCCCTGAGGTGAAAGTGTTCTTGGCATATTAGAGGACCGCCAGAATAAGGAGGCCAGAGTAGCTAGAACAAAGTGAAGGGAAATGTAGAAAATAAAAGTCACTAAGCTGGAAGGATTTGTTATTAAACTACATGGAGGGGAGGAAGGAAGGAAGGAATGAAAAAGGGGAAGGAGTAAAGAATGGAGGGGGGAAAGGAGAGGGGATGGAGAGGGAAAAAGGAAGAGGAGAGAGATGGAGGAGAAGGAGGGGAGGGAGGGAAGAGTAGAGGAGGGAAGGAGAGAGGTGGAGATGCAGTGGGGGAGGGAGCACTCCGGGGAAGGGGGAGGGCAGGGGAAGAGAGAGGGATAGGAGCTCAGGTTTTTCAGCCTGAGCAGCTAGGGAATGGTGATGCCATTCACGAAATGGGATAAAATGAGGTAAAAGCAGAACTGAGGAAAGAACTCAAGTTTGGTTCTGGACATGTTATACTGAGATGCTTATTAGACATCTAAGTAGACTAGGCAGTTGGATGTGAAAGCCGAGCATTCCAGAGAGGGGTCTAGAGGTGAAAACATAAATGTGGAATTAATGACTGGCACACAGATAACACTGAAAGCTGTGATTCTATGAGAGATCGCCAAGCAAGGTAGCACAGACAGAAAAGATCCCAGAACCAAGCCTAAGGGCACCTGGTGTTAAAGGTAAAGAAAGATGTGGGAACCAACAAAGTAGAATGAGAGGAGGAGCCTGTGTTGCAGGAGGAAATCCAAGAGAAAGTGATGTCTCAGAAAGGGTGGACTTTGCTTACCGCCTTCTCAGACACACACAGAAGCAATATTTTGAAGCTGAAAGAACTTGAGCTTTGGAGCAGAAGAACTAGATTTGCATGATAGTTCCTCCAATTATTACTGGAAAGCCACAGATGCTAACCCACTATAAATTTCAGTTTCTAGAAAACAAGAAGGTAATAAGTATTTACCTTCAGGAAGGTAATAAGTATTTATTTTACAGAGTTATGATAGTCAATGAAGAAAATACAGGTAAAAATTCTAATAAAGTGCTATAAAAATAGTATTGTAAAATCATGCATTCTTAAAGATTTCTGGGTAAAGAGGCAGAGCGTAGCAAAAACAGACACATTTAGTCCCTTAAATACCTCACAAGATGCACAGACCATGAAAGAACAGTTCAAGGTGCAGGGAAACATGCCCACCCCACTGAGCAGAGTTAACTGCATGCTATAGACCTGGCAAGGTGGCAGCCAAGATTAGGAACACACATGCTAACAAAGAACTGACACTCCTAATTCCACCGTAACTGCTCCACGCCCAAAAGTTAGAGAAAGAGAGTGAGCGGATGAAACTCTTAGCACTCTAATATACTTTCATTCATAGACAAACAGATATGGGTGAGGGAGGGGGAAGGAAGGAATACAATATGTGAGAGGCAGGTAAGACACACAAAGCATCCATTCTGAAAGAAAACCTAATAAAGTCCTCCACTGGTACTCTGTAATAAAACAAAACAAACACCTCAGTTGAATTTAATAAAAGAGATCAAATATACAGCATGAAATGAAAATGTTGACTGTAAAGCTAAGGAAACAACTGAGAACCATAACAACATCATTACAGATCTAATAAATACACCAGAAACAGAAAGGAATTGAATAGTGTACAACTATTAACCATTGGCAGCATTATAACTGCAGAACAGAAAGCAAATACTATAAACCCTGCCAAAGCTAAAATTCATAAGTGAGAGGCTGGGGAAGATGCAAGAGAAAAGGTATAAAAGTCCTAACCCCTCCACCTCTCATGGCAGTAATTAATGCAGAAACAACGGCATGATGCTAACTTCAGAATGTCTTTTATTACTTTACTTTGAATGATTTTTTAGTAACTACTAGCTTTTATAGTAAAGAAACAGTATTTTAAAGTATTTCAGCTTTACTTAAGTTTTTATGTGTTAAATTCAAATAAAATTTAAAATTAATACTTTAACTTAAAAAGACAATAGTGTGGTGAGGGCCAAGTGAGGAGGGGTGGGGGCTGGGTGAAGGTGGGCAAAGGGGGTGAAAATGGGGGACATCGGCAATAATGCCAATAAAAAATTTAAATTAAAAAAATTATATAATCTCATTCCTATCAGAAGTTCTCTCCCCCTTCACACTTTCCCTTCGGTTCATTCAGCACTCATCCTGCTATCCATCCTTCCATCTGGATATCTGGAATGATGTCCTCTAAAGTTAAAAAGCAATGGTTATCTTTAGGTAGGTAGTTATTAAGGTGACTTAGTGTTTCTCCTTTTTCTTTCTATTTTCTTCTTTTTCTTAGTGCTAAACATTTATCTTTTGTTTAAGTAATACAAAAATAGTCACTGCTCTTAAAAAGAGAGAGGGAGGCAGGAAGGGAGGGAAAATTTATTTTACTATGGCTGTATTAGTTAAATTGAATCAGGATTAACCTAGAGGCTGTCTATCCTTCTTACTCTCTAAAATCAAGGACAAGATCTCTAGATAACAAACTTGGTGAAGTATACTAAATAATTAATGGGAAGAACACAGACACTACTAGTGTGTTCAGGATGAGAGAAAAGAAAAGGCCACATCTTGATGAGTTACTTTATGGGTTGCTTTTACATATCTTCTTAGAGTAGCAATTCTCAACCTGTGTGCCGTGGCAGGCACCAGTGTGCTGCAAGAATTTTAAAACATGCACTACCTGATTACTTAGGGGCACTGACCTCTTTTCCCTTAGACTGTCAAATAAAAAAATGACAACAGCCAACACAATGGTTGGCTGGTGTGAATGAATCAAACTTATGCCTATTTCTTTTGTTAAATATATTTTTTGGCATGCCACAAAATTTCAGTGATTAGTTAATGCATGCCATGAGATGAAAAAGGTTGAAAATTGCTGTCCTAGAGCTTTTTGTGGTGTTAAGGAGAGTTTCAGTTGTAAAGGCTCTGCTCACACACAGACACTTGGCAAGGTAGGTGGCACTACACAGCCAAAAGCAGAAACAGTCCTGAGCTGCAAATTCTATAATAGGTCTCCATTCAAATAATTCCAGATGTCCCCACTTTACTGCTGCACAGTTAATTGGTTTTGTACACCATGTTAGACAAGGATCCATACCAGTTAGAGTTCTAAGAAGCAGCTGACTGCACCTCAAACATGCATAGAAGAGATAAACGCACAGCTGTCAGACATGCATAGAAGAGATAAATGTGGCCGTACTAACAGGCACAGAACAAAACTCAACTCATCACTAGTCTTGTAAAGTATTACTCAGATCAGAATACATTCCATATATAAATTAGCTTGCATGATCTTGCACAGCTCCCTGATCAGTTAGTAGTGAAAATAAGCCAGCACTATGACTTAAAATGACAAGTTTTTAAACGGGAAATTCCCCAGGAACAACAGCTGAATTTTTAAACTACATCAGCTTTAAAAGCAGGCAATTATCTCCATCATACCTGTGCTGCTCAGGATAACTGCTACAAGAAAACACTTATATTGGAGCCTACTGAGGAAACCTTTCCTGCTTATAGCAGGAAAGCACCTCCAAAAGCCATTGCTTTGTTTCTAAAGCTAAAAATAGGACCCAAAGCAGTCCACATATGTTAAATCTTAATTATCAACCTTGTGTTTTATATGTTTTAATTCTTCCTTTCAGGAGAACACATTTAAATTCTGGATTCCATATTAGCAGTTTTACTTTTCTAACGCATTGTGAAGACTCTACTTTTAAGAGGCTAGTCCTCACATCAGAAATAACTTTAGCCCAAGAATGAAGCCAGTCAAAATAACCGTTTATAGATTTTTACCAAGTTTTACCCAATTTATTTTGATATACTCAAAGTGTGGAAAAGGAAAGTTATAGGCACAGCTCAAATGCATACATAAGCATTCTTATTAAAAAATAATTTAAGTTTTATTTTTAGCATAAATCCAGAATGTTTGTCAAGGTTAAGGAAGTGACAGTGTAAACAAACAAGGGCAAATCCGTAGTAAATGCAAAAGCCTAAGGTTAATTTTAGACTCTTTGCTGCTCTACTCAAAGAAACCAAATGTGATCTTAGGGGATTTATTCTCTCCAATCTTCTTTTAGCACTAGCCTACACAAGGCTAACTTGAACTTGCACAAAAAGACTTAACTCAATTATTAGCCAAGGTCTCTCAGCTGCTTTCCTTCACTGGCCAGTTTTTTCTTTTCTCCCCTGAGGAAGATATTTTTTTATTTTGCGCTTCAGTAATCCGTCATTATTGACCAGCTGACCCTTGGACAAGCTGAAGAGTGTCAATATAGATACAAGGAGAAGTGCCTTGCAGTTCTGATACACTTTTAATTTTAAAATCAGTTACTAGTAAAATGCCTTTTATGTTATGATTTGACATGTTTAATAAATATTCTTTTTGATCAACTATGTCTTCATATGAAAATATTTTGCTTAACGAAGATAAGCGATAAAATACTAATATGATGACAGGATTATCTTTGAAAAAAGTTAAAAAAACACCCTAGTATCCTATTTGAAAAATTTTATTTCAGATCCTAATTCTTGGTTATCAAACTTTTCCTAATGGATAAATTTTTTTAAGGAAAAAACTGTTTCAATTTTCTTATATCCTAAAAGGATAACCTTGTGCACCGCAGATGCACACTTCTCACTTTGGAGATTAAGGCTCACAACATCAATGGCAATACACATTAATCACTAGATAACCACTTTCTCTGTGACAGGGCATCAGTCTTCTGTGTTCTGGTTAAGAATTCTCTCTCTACCTCCCACCAACATACTCAAGGAGACACATTTTGGCATGGCACTCATTTGCAATAAAGCAATATAAAAAAGAGCTGGCTTACATCTCTGCAGAACCTGGTTTAAGTTGTCTTGCATTGTTTCTCTGCATTTGGGAAGCGTATGCTCATTGGTTTCATGGATCATATTCTTCAAATTCTCAAGAACTCGCATTTCTCGAAGACCACGTTTTTCCTATTAAAAGAAAATAAGTGACTAGCACATATTGTGTCTTAAATCTTAGTAATTACTTTCTGGGATTTCCACCCAGGTTTTGGTTGTTGTTATTACTTAGTACTGAAACTAAGTACTAATTCTAATTAAGCCTTCTTCTAATTATGTGGCCATAAATGAGGTCACAAACTGGAGGCATTTTTTAAATTATGAAATGTTTCAAAAGTTGAAAAGTTGCAATATGAGTAATAGTTTTACAGCAATATTTTAAAATGGGCATGAAAAATACTAAAAGAACAAAAAAGAGGCCTACATTATCACATATTTCATTCTGTACAGCAAAGAAAGATATTAGATGCCCTTAATTTGATTTTAAATTGCATTTTTTTCATTCTTACCATATTATTTATACTCTATATTTTTTATCACGTAAAAATATAAAGTAAAGGTAATATGAAGATACTTCCCTGTGCAGAAGAGTTAACACTGAAGACCCAAGATTACTTATCCTTAGAAAGGCCTGCCTGCAAGACTGGCCTTTGGCTGTGGGCTGGGACCCTTGATCAGTAAACAGTTCCTTACACTGGTATAAAACTTTCTATAAGTGATGAGACATCTCTTTCTTCCCAGGAGTCAGGAATTTGGGTACAGGCTAGGCAGACACTGCCTGCCTGACCAGTCCCCAATAAAAATCCTGGACTCCTGGGCTGAGACAAGCTTTTCTGGTGGGTAACATTCCACACGTGTTGTCACAGCTCACTGCTGCGGGAAAGCAGCACATGCTGTGTGACCACTGGGAGGGGATTCTTGGAAGCTTCTGCCTAGTTTCACCCGGACTCCCCTGCACTTGTTCCCTTTGATGATGTCGCTCTGTATTATTTCGCCATAACAACACTTGGCAGAGCAACCACATGCTAAGTTCTTATGTTCTTCTAGAGAATCACTGCACCTGGGGTGGTCTTAATACCTGCCCCACTCCCACTTGAGGGTAGGCTAGACTTAGTGAGTTGCTTCCAAACAACAGAGCAGGGAAAAGGGAAAACATGTACTCCATACTGGAAACAATGAAGGCTGACATCATCAGTGATGTCAAGGTGACAGCATCCCCTGATGTAATGTGATGAGAAGGGCAATTTACCTCTGTGGTACTCTTCCCAAACTCACAACCCCAGTCTAATCTTAAAAAAAAATCAGACAAACCCAGATTAGGGGACATTTCACAGGATACTGACCAGTACTCAAGACTGTCAAGATTATGAGAAACAAGGAAAGACTAAGAACTGTCATAGACCAAAACTAGAGAGACATGACAAATGCTAATGTGGTACCCTGGATTAGATCCTGGACAGAAAGAGGACTACAATGGAAAAACTGGTGAAATCCAAATAATGTCTGGTGTTTCGTTAGTAGAAACGTACCAAGGCCGGTTTCTTAGTTTTCACCAGTGTAGCATGGTAACATGAGACATTAATGATGAAAGGGGGGAAGAGGATACAAGGATTCTCTACATTGTCTTAGCAACTTTACTGAAACTCTAAAATCAACACAAAACAAAACATTTATTTTAAAAAGGTGGTAAGCTTGATCATAACGAAACAGAAGGTAGTTGTTACCTGGGGTTTGTTTTGCTGAGCCATTCTCATGGAGCAGCTATGCCAGATTTTTACTATTCCTAATTCTTCCATAATAAAAAATTTAAGACTTATACAAAAGTTGGGAAAATGAAACAATGAATTCTCATATACCTATCAACAAGCTTCAAAAATTCAGCTCGTGGCTGATTTTGTTCCTTCTATAACACTCCACACATCTCCCTACACCATCCTCTATTCTTTTGAAGCAAATCCCAGACAATGTATCATTTCAACTATAAATATTTCAATGTCTACCTTTAAAAGACAAGAACTCCTCTTAAAGAGATACAGTAAGACCACCTCTCTCACTCAACCCCGGTACATCACTGGAGTCAGGGCAGCCATCCCCCAAGCGCTGTCAGTGCTTTTACCCTCCAGTTTGTTTCAAAACAAACTCCAAACTAGTCCCTCACACTGCATGTGGTTACTATGTTTCTTAAGTCCTTTCTAATCTATAGATCTGTCCTCCATCACTTTTTTCCCCCTTGCAATTTGCTGGAAAAAAGGGAGTCAGTTTCCCACACTTGGTTTTTTTTGCTGAATGAACCCCTATGGTGTAATTTAACATGTTCCTTTGTCTCTTCTCTTTCCTGTAAATTAGTAGCTAGAACTAGAGGCTTGATCAGAGTCAGGGTTTTATTTTGTTGTTTATGAAGAGCACTTCAGAGGTGGGTTGTGTACTTTCGACAGGATGCTACTAGCATTCTGTCCTTGTGGATCAGCAGGGATACCTCTAGAACGAGAAATTTCCCCTCATCGACTATCTGGTTACCCTGAGGGTTGTGTGCATATTAAAGGCAAAATAAAACACTTATCATTTCCCTAAAACAATGATTTGGTTTCCTAGTACTCTCTAAAGGTTTCTGTGTTTTTACATATTCCTGTAACTCACAGATATAAAACCATTTGAAGTTTTTCATCCATTACAGTATTTCTCCTTATTGGTGCTTAAATTGTCCTGTCTCTGTCCAGCGGGAGCCTATTCAAGCTGGCTCTGGAAGCCTTTAGACAGAGCTCCTGTGTTCTTTAGTAGCTTCTTTGCTTCTGCTATGACCCGATGCTCCACGCTCATTTTGGACATTTCCTGGCCCAGACTTGGCGTTAAATACCACTAGTATTTAAAAATAGTACTCAGACACTGAGCACTAGGGGTGTTCACTGCTACTGGGTTGGTCATTATTTCTAGGCCTTTCAGTGAACAAGGCTAGGAAATAGACATTTTTAAAAAAAGAAAAGATATATTTTAAGTTCACAGTCAAACTTAAATTCAGAACTATAGGGTTTTTAATTACCCTCCTGTCTCATCTCTTTCCAGTTCTCAAAGCACCAACATAATTACTCATTTGCTTTATCACTAATTCAATCAAATAACAATACTAATACTAGCATCAACAAAATGATTACCGAAAAGAGTCTGGTTTTTTGTTTTTTGGGGGTTTTTTTGTCCTGAAGGGATATTCCACTAGGAATGTTGTCAAATTATTGTGTTTTAAAGTTACTTGGAATAACTTCTCTCTGCATCACAATGCCAGCATCTACAAACATAGGTTTGCTTTTTTATATTTTTACTTGATTTGAGGGCAATTGCTCATTAAAATTTAATTTTCTTTTAATTATGTAAAATATTTACATGGCTCCAAAATTATACCTCTAAAAATATGTATGTATTCAAAAAAGTCTCACTTTTATCCCTATCATTTATATCCTATTCCCTCTATCACTCTCTCCTGAGGCAATTATTTAAATGTTTGTTTTTTTAAATGTTTTCATTAATTTTACAGAGAGAGGGAAAGGGAGAGAGAGAAACATCGATGAGAGGGAAACATCATTCGGCTGCCTCCTGCACGCCCCCTACTGGGGATGGAGCCTGAACCTGGGCATGTGCCCTCACCGGGAATGGAACTGTTGACCTCTTGGTTCATGGGTGGACGCTCAACCACTGAGCAACCCTGGCTGGGCAGTAATTATTTAAACTTCTTTATTCCACCATTGTTATAAGTATGTACATCCACTTGCATCTATAAAATGTATATAAACATACGTATGTGTACCTATATGTATTTTTTTCAATTCTCTCCTTCTTAAACAGAAACATGATGTACAGACTTATCTTACCTTATGAGTCATAAACACACATAATACATATAATCTTTATGTGGTCATGTGGTCCACTGGTTCCAGTGTTTAGAAAAGTTGGCACTTTTGCTCTATGTTTATATTAATACTTTACGGTCTCCACTTTTTTGGCTACTGTCTACTAGTTGCCTACAATAAGCAATATTAATAGGTGATTATCTGTTCTTTCTCTAGCCTTCCTTTCTCTCTCAGGACCCAATTTGAAATAGTATCCTTTTACTCCCAGTTAATATTTATAAGGCAACAAGTGAGGATATTATGCTTTTCATCTACCCTCCCTTCTCCCTCCATTTTCTGATATTTGACTATATCTACACTGTCAGAACACAGAGCTGACATGTTATACTGTCTCCCCTATAACCATAGTTTAGTCTAAGTTCCGTAAGTAAATATATATTTAATATTTACCAATTGTGATTAGGTAAAAGTCTCTCCAATCATTTTGGTTGTTTAAAACTAATTGTTGATGATAAAACAGATTCCTCAGGAAAGGCTCATGTGAGCATCAGTCCCAGAGTCTTTCATGAGCTTAATCCGTGCTCCCTATACCTGGGGGTCAATTTGGCTAGATATAAAACCCCTAGCTGTTACTCCACTGTCTTCTGGCATAAGACAAGTAAATCTGTTAATAATTATATTTTCTTTCACTAATAAAGGACTTAGCCATTTTGTTGGGTTGCCCAAAGAATTTTTTTCTATAAAGTCCAACAGATTTATTTAAAAATGTTTCAGAGTTGGCTGTTCTGGGCAAATTTTCCCTGAATGCAGTGCACCTTTTAATAAAATTTCATTAATATTTTTATTTCAGGAAAGTTTTCTTGAATTCTAGTTTTTACATTTGTTTTATTACATTGCTTTGACTTTCTCCTCTAGGGGCTCATTATCACGCACATACTGGATCTTCTGTATTTATCATCATAACTACTCTTTTCTCTTGAATTCTTTTTATATCTTTAGTCATGTCTTTTAAATTTTAAGCCTTTCTATTATCGGTTTCACTTAATCCATTGTGTGTATTCACCTTTGTGTTCCTTCTAGGTTAGTTTTCATTTCTAAATCACTTTTTAAAATTTCTTTTTCCTGATATTTTTCACTTTACCTTTCATTTTATTTCTACTTTATCCAATCATTTATGAGTTCTGATTCTGACTTACACCATTCTTTCCTTCCTTCTATAATTTTCTTACAATCCCTAAGCTCATTTAAAAACATTAGGTTATAGCCCTAGTGGTTTGGCTCAGCAGTTAGAGC